CCGCCCGCCCGCCACACACACACCACCCCGACCTACCCATCTTCATGTTGGCAATCCCCCTTGCTGTGTGCCGGCACGCGCCTTGCGTGGTGATGGCTCTGTCTTTGTAGGGGCTACGATCTGAACACCCTCGTCGTTAGCACTTGGATCGTGTACGGTTTCGCGGCGTGCGCCCCGCTGGCCGTATGGCTTGTGCTGAACCAGATGGACTTGCCGGTGCCGCTCGTGAAGGTAACGAAATGTTGTTGGTGTCGTTGTGTACACGTGAAGAACCGTTCCAGTCTCCTCTCAGTACCTTGTAATATCCGTATCATGTGGTCCAACTGACGCGGACAGACGCCTTGCGTGGTTACAAATGTTGTCAAACAAAAGGCACGTGGCATCATGATGAAATGTGATGAGATTCGGTACGTAGAGTATGCTCAACCTCTCGTGGGCTTTTAGGCGCGCCGGTGAAACAATGAGGGCAAGCATGCGACGATGTGAACAGAGGTGAAGATCGATTTTATCGGCTCTGTTCGCGTCTGTGTCCAGGGTGAGATAGGCAAGGTGGACACCACACCTTGGGATATGGACGTAGCCACGCTGTCGAACATGATACACGAGGGTTTTTGTGCCGCCTGGCGTCACTGTGGCGACGTGCCTCCATTAGATCGTATTGTTCCTGCTGTGCAAGCGAAGTTCTAGAGACAAAGAACAAGCACGGCGTGTTGTTGAAGGCGGTGCGGGGGTGGGGTCGGGGGGCGTGTGGGGGGGGCAACATTCTTGGGGTGAAAGTTGCTACATCGCGGTTGCTGTCGCGGGTTTTCGAGCCCTCTCTCTCCGTCCCATCCAGTCCAAGCCGAACCATCCTCGTTATCAACAATTTCCGCTTTTCATGCACACCCACGCACGCGTGCGGCCGTCTTCTTTTTAGTCATAAATCGGATACATCTCTGTAGGGCCTTCTTCCGCTTGGGGTGCCCCCTCCTCCCCACGTTCGCGCTGAAGGTGCGTCACGACACCCACAAACAGACCCTCCCCAATTTTATCAACACCATCACTTTTCATGTTCATCAACCGAGTAGCAACGACGCCCCCCCCCCCCCCCCCCCCCCCCCCCCCCCCCCCCCC